GTTGCTTTAATCCTTAAAGCTGACCCGCTTTAGATGTCCATCTCAAACTGGGCATCTTCACCTATAAAAGAAAGAAAAAAAACAACAACAAAAAATGGACAATTAATAGAAATAAGAGTTTAATAAAGTTTCCTATGTAATGTCGTGTGCACATTGCTCATATTGAAGGTGATACGATCACATTCAGTCGGTTGCTATGAAACAATGTGTAATCCCCGACTGGTTGGCAGTGGTTCTTAGACACTGCTGGCTGTTGCTGCATCAAAAACCTTCTAGTGATTGCTTTGGTTGCTAGCAGATCTCCACAGCTACCTGCAGTTTTCCATGTTTGTTGTCAAATACTATGTTTGATGGAAAGCGGACATGAAGAATGTTTGCCTTCAAAGCTTCATGAGGTGTAAAGTTTACTTTGAAATGATTGGCACTTAAGAAATTGTTTCCCCACCTGCTGCCATCAACAACCACTCAATCAGTCAAGGAATTCTTATTTTTGCCAAATGGTCACAGACTGGTTTCCCATCTTTATTATGCACACATGTTTACCTGCGCTCTCTGCATGCACGCTGTGCTCCGTGTTGTTGCTGAGCGACTGGTTTGTATCGCTGGAGGCATCGGGCTTGAGTGGCCGGGTGACGCCTGGGATGTCAGGCAGGTTGGGCGGCGTGCGAGTCAGGGGAGATGTCCGACACTGCAGGAGGAACTTCCTGTCGTAGATGATTCTGGTACCTGTGGGTTAGCATTTTCTTAAAGTGATGACTATTTGGGAAAATTCCAGTACAGCAGATAACCCTTGTGCACACTAAAGCAGATTTTACAATGAAAATAACATGGAATAAATAAAATGTAAACAATGATGAAATAAAGATTAAAACTACTACTATTAATCTAAACTTTAAACATGTTGGTGCGCATATAGCTTGCCTGCTTTTCTCTGCTAGTGTGACCCTACAATGCGCAGGTCCATACATGCCCATGACATTTAGCCTAATTTTGCAGCCCATATCAGCTATGTTGGTACATATTCAGTGACTCACTTGTGTTTTATCTGTGTCCCACCTGCTAATGTTACAGGACACAGTATCAGTTGTAGTGGGCATGTGCATCTGAGTCAGGTTTCTCACGACCGCTGAGGGAAAACATTTTCTTTTTTAACTTTTATCTCTGCAGTTGAAGCTTCCCAAGGCCCCAGCTTGTCAATGTTTAAAATAAAACAATGGCAGCCCCCAAAATGAGAAAAAAAAAAGGGTCAAAACTGAGCTTACTGCTGGTCCAGGTCCTGAGTACGGCCTCAGATGATCTCTGTTGTGTTTAACTTGACCAATTCAGTTTAGATTAAAATATTTTCTTTTGGCTACAGCTTTAAAGTTTTCTGAAATGTTCACATTAGCAGTTGGCATTTTATGTTGGTTGGTGAGTAAGCTTTTGGTGATCTCTCTCAACTGACAGAAAAGTGTGTGATGTATAATCATTAGTCCCACTTGTTCATGATTAATACAACCAGTGTGTCCATGTTTAGTAAACATGTTGCTATTGCAGCTCAACAACAGCCTGCTGTAATACCAGGACTATAAATAGGATGTGACTGAGCACAGGCCAACATTTGACCTTACAGTTGTAAACTGTATATGCAAGTAAACATAGGCTGCACACTGCCCTTACTCTTGGATAATGACACTGAAGCTGCCATTCATAAGTGACGACTTCCACATTAGATTAAAGCTTATGCACATAAAAACCTCATGCAGAGGGGGGCATAATGCTAGATTTTGTAACCAGAGCCATCAGACACATGCAGTTATAAGTCTCCAATCAGCATAAATGGGAAAATAATTAAGGACGGAGGAATAAAGCCATGTAAAATACACTGAAATAATCTCTGGTATTGTTAAACAACTGCAGTATGTGGATCCATAAAGTACTGCTTCTGCTAGTTGTTATACTTCGGGATACACCAACGCTGTCAAACATTAACAAGACAACATGACAGGACCTCGGTTACTTCCATTACCACGAACTGTTTTTGGAGCTGGATTTCAAACATAACTCCAAATATCTCTCTCTTTTTGTTTTTGTCAAGCACAAGTATACAGCACTTTTTGGATATGTTTTTAAAACAATTATCCCACTCGGCTGCACATTTATTAAATTTGAGTATACTATTTTTAATAGCTGTACAGTATTTTTCTAATGTTGTAAATTTTATTTATTTATTTATGTAATTTTATATTCTTTACCTTTATGTGAATCTCCGTGCTCCATCTGCCTGTCACGTTACTGCTGGAACACGTGGATTTCCGCAGTGGGGGACTATAAAAGATATTTCTATTCTATTTCTCTGTCTCTAAGTCATATGGATAAGCTAATCGTGATCTTGGGATAAAAAGTAAACTGCAGTGTTGGAACTTTTTTTTAAATTCTGAGATATATAAAAGAAAATAAACTGTCTTTAATTGTTTGTTTGTTTTTCGATTAGCATCTGAAGAGGAAAATAATTCACATGTGAGGAAACCTTTTGGCTTTTGAGACCAAAACAAAAGTTGATGCTGCTGCTTTCTAACTTCCTTAACCCTCTGCATACCCCTGACATGTACAAACTGTTCAAACTGCTGCTTTCAGCTAGGTGCTACAGAGAGCTGTTTACTCAACCAGCCGCTCAGGCTGTTACTCTGATGAACACAGTGAAATAACCCACTGTTGTGTCATTTAGGTCATATGCACATATGCATTACTCAGTTTTACAAGTACAGTTTGTATGGTTTCTTAAGACTTTCTGTAACTTGTTTTTTTTTTTTCTTACTTCTGGCGTGTACTACCTATTTAAAAAAGCAAATAAAGAGTAAAAATAAATACAGATTATTCTGAATCCCTCTCTTTCCTCATTCTGGACATCAGTACCTCCAGGCGTGGTGCTGAACAGAGTTCCTCCGGGGGTCGTGGAGTAGTCGTTTGGCAAATGCGCAGCGTCGTGGATAGCGACCCGCCTGACGGCTGGGATATCCCGGCTCCTGGTGGCCTGGCCTCCCGCTGACATCTCTCAACTCTATGCGCTAATGACACTCCACAGACGAGGCGAGCTGCATGTACGCCCGCAGACTGAGCATGGAAAGCTACACTATGCCTCCACGTGCTCAGAGAAAACTCAAAACAACATCCCAGGAACTTCCTACAAAACGACACGTGGGGCAGTGGGCTATGATTGGCTGAAACCAAGGGGCGTCACTTGATGTTGACAGTGGATGTTGTAGTTTTTTCCTCCCTCCTAATCTGCAGCAATCAAATACATGCAATGGTACATTTCTGCAAGAACACTTTACAGCATAGGTGTCAAACTCTGGCCCGCGGGCCAAATTTGGCCCGCAGCCTAATTACATTTTACTATTAGAGCTAGCCTACTGGTATTATACAGCTATATATATATTGTTTAGTATTAAGCTTTGCTTGTTCCATATTCAGTTTTTCAGCAAAACTTGTTTGAGTCCATAAGAAAAGATTAATTCTTATATCTGGAGGAAGATTTTTTTTTTCCAATAAATATTAACGTTGGCCCGCGACTTTGTTCCAGTTTTGAATTTTGGCCCACTGTGTATTTGAGTTTGACACCCTTGCTTTACAGCAACAGCAACAATAAAAATATATAGCATACACATTTTATAAGACATTTGTCGTGCGATTAATGCACAACTGTTCAAAATGTACAAAAGATTTTCAAAACCAACACAGCGGTAGGCTACAATCATGCAAATTTCTACAACGGGATGGAAATGTAGTGATTTCAATGACAAAGAAGTTCAGTTTGTATACTTACAGTGGATGATAGCGTAAATGGCATTCTTAAGCACATTCCACAAATTGGTATATGATCAACTACAGTAAAAAACATATTTATGAAGAGAAAACACACTGTGACAGTTAAAAATATTAATCATGCTCTTTTTGGGTTTCTTTCTTCAGCCTTTTAACCATACATGACAGAACAATAAATTAGCAATCTGTGCATATTTGCACATTTGGCAGACCAAAAGGGTCTTTCTTCCTTCTTCTTTCTTAACTGCTTAACACTAAAAACTGATATAACAAATGATTCAAAGAAGCTGAAACCAATCCCGTTTATTCAATCACCACTTTGTGGAGAAAAGAACAATTTTTATATATTTTAGACGTGAGATATCTGAAGTTCTCGTGTATGTATGTATTGTGCAATTGCTTTGGGACATTTTCCTCGAAAATAAGGTTTCAGATGCACAAGAAGGGAATAAATATTGCATAAAATTATTGAATCTGTCGAATAAAACATTAAGAAGATGCATGTTTGTAACTTCTCAGACATCCAGGACACACGTCTGTGTCTTGACGTGTGAGACAGGGTACCAATTCAGTGATCCACAGAGTAAAAAGACTGCACTTAAATACACTTGCTGCAAAAACAACACACCCCATTTATGTCACATCTTTGTTTATTAATTCTTGTAAATGGTTTGAGCTGGTGTACAGGGTAAGATGATCTATACATATCTTCATGTCAGAATGACTCTGATTGAAAGGCTTGTATACATATTCACGTTGGTTTATCCTCTCTCCGGGACAATACAAAAGAAAAGAAAACAAGTGGTCATAGCTACAAAGCCTCTACATTCCCCATGATGTGGACGTCGGCCTAGTCTAGATAATGCTTAAAGAACATCCATAATAACTCTATGAGGGTGCATAGCATTCTAATTAAATATATTTTGTCATATATTTATACATATATTTTCATAAAAACATATTTTTTTTGTGCATGTGCGCAGTTGCATTCCTTAGGATAGAGTAATATGATATTGCGTTTACATTGTCATGTATCCATTCTAAAGGAGTATAGGTGATCTTTATTCTTTGCAACAGTTAAAATTTTACAATACCCTTTAAAATACATTGCTGTAGGTTACACGTCCTCTCAGAAGAAATTGCGGTCTCTCTTCTTCCCGCTGATCCAACCAGGATGGGAACCAAATATCATGATCATTATCATCATCATCATCATCACACAACACACTACTGAAAGGCCACACTGGCTGCCAGACGTTATG